GGGAGGAGATGGAACTGAGGGGAGGAGTTTGTAGATTTAATGAAACCCCTCCCCCCCAGTCTTTTCTACAGTATCTGAACACGGATAGAAAGACCTCTTTAGGACCCGTGACTCTCATATTTGAAAAGCATGCTATCCTTATATGGGCCAGTTGACCTATTTATGTCCGCCTCTGTGCTGCCTTCTGTCCCTGGTGCCCACTGACACTTTCTGGCTGCCCACCAAATGTTTATAGAAAGAGGGCGGTGGCGGGTAGGGCTTTTGCCCAGCAAGGCTTCTGATTGGCCCACTGGTGGACCTCCTGATGGCACCTGGGTTTTAGCCACAGTATGACACAGAGTGTTGGACTGAATGGGCCATTGGCCTGATCCAACATGGTTTCTCTTATGTTCTCATGACACTCTAACCACTAGTTGTCATCCTTAGGGATGGGCACAAGCCGGCCGATGAACTAAAGTGCTTCACAAATTTCGGGCAGTTCGTGGTTTGTGAAGCGACATTTGCGAACTGAAGAACTGCCATGAACTTCCACTTTACAAAAAACAGCTGAGCAGATGGGAGCTCCTTGCCACCCAGCTGTTTGGTCTAAATGGCTCCGAGCCATTTAAACCAAGCAGCTGCTTTCTGCTCACCACGAAAATCCTCAGGGAGCAGAAACGGGTTTAAACTGTAAATTGTTCACAAACCAAATACAAATTGGGTCGGTTCGCGAACCAGCCTCCCCACTTGTATGGGTTCGTGGTTCGGTTCGTGGTTCGACCTCTAACCGAACCACAAAAAAATTTGGTTTGTGCCCATCTGTTAAATGTTCCCCAGCATGAAATTCTGCCTGCATACTTAATGCTAACCTGTCAAGGAGAAAGTTCTGAGAGCTAAAGCTTTTCCTTCGTGTGCTAATGTTGTACTTATCAGAAATACTTTTTATAAGGGGAAAAGAGCAATAATCTAGTAACACCTTAAAGACTAACTAAATACGTGGTAGGGGAGGAGCTTTCATGAGTCACTGCTCACTTCTTCAGATACCTTGAGAACATAGATTTGTCATCTGAAGAAGTGAGCAGCGACTCACAAAAGCTTCTCCCCTGCCACATATTTAGTCAGTCTTCAAGGTGCTACTGGACCCTTGCTCTATTCTATAGCTATGTACAGACTAGGGTTTGCCAGGGATCCCCTGTTTTGAGGGGGGTTCTACCCGCCGCCAGCCAGATGGCCAGCGGGGGAAGCCCCACCCCCAACACCCACAGCCACCCATCTCTTTTCCTTTAAGTATGTGAAGCCTGTGTTTCCTCCAAAGCCTGATCTCCGCAAGCTTGCAGGGAAATGCCAGCTTCGTGCTCTTAAAAGGGAAACGCGGCTGCTCTTAAAGGGGAAACGTCGGCTCCTGCATTTAAAAGGGAAACGCCGGTTCCTTTAAGTGCAGGGAACTGCCGTTTCTGGAGATCTGGCGCACGGGCGGGGGGGGCGGACGTCCCGAACGTGACGTCATCACGTCGGGGATGCCCCGCCCCCTCCAGGAACGCCCCCAAAGTCCCCCGCTGGGGGTGGAAGATGGACTTGGCAACCCTAGTACAGACTAACATGGCTACCCATCTTGGTTTATAAGGGGAGTTCATTAAATTCTCCCCAAGTGTTGTCTGAAACACTAAAACTCAGGCATGGGTACCCGACAGGATCACCTCTGTTCGTTCAAGATGCACGATAAGTAAGCAAAGAATGGCCGTTACTGCGTCTCACACATTTTTATTTATGGGGGGTTTTTTCTTCTTTTTTTTAGCAGTGCTGATGAGCCTCCCGATGAAGTTGAAATGGAAAGTGACCGTGGAGAGAGTGACTCTGAAGAGGAGGGAGCGCTTAGCGACGTTCACGGCCAAGTGCCGGAGGCCACAGAGAGTCTGGGTGATGTTGCGCCCAAGTTGTCGAAAGCTCAAGAAAAAGAGCTACGTAAATTAAGAAAACTGGACTACAGCTGGGCGTCAGCCCTCTAGGCAGATGACGTCTCTAGGCACTTCGGATTTTTTATATTTGTGACCAAGAACCGAATCGGATTTCGTTTTTGCTAATAAAACGGCGTTTTCCAGGATACATCAGTGATCATCTGTTACCAATTAACCATTTATTCCTGCAGAGAGTAATCTAAGACAGTTATTCTGGTGAGACTTCAGTGGGTCGTCTCGTGAGGAAAATGAGGCTTGATTTCAAGATAAGTACTTCTGAATTTAGACTGTGAGCGAGGTCCAGCTGTTGGGCAGAACTTATCACAAAGCATGAACCTTCAAGTTGCTTTAGAAGCAGATTTATTTTTCTTCAGAATCAGTTTAAAACTGTAACATGAGGGATCTGTACCTGTCATGCAAGGCAACAGAATGTGATGAACTGACCAAAAAGCTGGATTTTTAAAATGTACAGAAACGCTTGAGGCAGAATTTGAAAGGCGAGGCTCCAAACTTGTCCGGTTTGTTATATTCAGGCAGCAGAGGTCACGAGGCAAGAGGTGGCTTGAGAACACTCGGAACAGCAGCTAGTTCAGAACCATTTGACAGACAATGTTTCCAGTGTGGAATAAGAACATAAGAGAAGCCATGCTGGATCAGGCCAGTGGTCCATCCAGTCCAACACTCTTGAGTCACACA